AAGGAATGTTTCTTCTCAGAAAGATTGCTCTCGGCCATAATATGTTGTTGTGGTATTACGTGATTGGTGGCTTTACAAATACATCCGTTCTTTGCTGTTTGAACATGTTGTCATGTGAGTTTAGTCATTGTCCTACAGGAAACACATCCAATCTATGTTCATTATAATAATTAAATATGTGCTAAGGTTCAAAACCTTTTTTTTTAATTAGAAATTTAATGGGAAAATTGGATGATGGTTATTGTGTCTATATCTATGTACGTACATGTGGCTGTGTATTTGGTGTAGCATAAAAAGAGGGTTTTTCTAGACGTTTTTAGAACAGAACGTGCTAAATAATCTTCTGAGGTCCATATTAAGCAACCTATGCGTATTTAGGGAGTGGTAATAATGAAACCCCACCTGACATGCATACTCTGTGTGCCTGAATAAAAAAGTCTTGTAATCCTTTAAGCCAATAAATGCAGGACGCCGACACAGAGCACAGAAGTCAAACAAGGTTGTATGAGCTATCCCCGAAAATATTGTGTGGGTGTGGAGAGCGTGTACCTTTCCAATTTGCTCTGCAGTGATTCAGCACTCAGCTAAAGTAAAGCTTACAATAAGGCAAGAAAGACAAAGAATTAGAGGTATTGCAGCTGCAACTTATAGAAATATATGCCCTGGAGTTTATTGGATGAATGTATGTTGTTCTAGTGTTGTAGTTCTCACAGGAGAATATTAAGCTTTGGTGGCACTAGTCTTCCATGAGCATAATAAAGCAGGGAAGCTGTTTATCTAAGTATATAATTAATTAAAATTTTGATATACTTGAGTATTTTAATTTTATGATACATAATACTTACCACATTTCAGAGGAAAATGTTGTTCTTCTGATTAATTTAGTCCATGGTGTTTAGCTAAAAAAACCTGCTGCTTATTACCAATTACAGTAAGGATATGCTGCAACTGCATTGAGAGTTATAGTTAAAGTCAAGATTGTATGTATAAAATATGTATTGTTACAGATTAAAGTACCTGACTTGACAAAATTAAAATGATGCTTAAATGTTAATGAATCAGTAATACTGAAAACATATATTTGAAAGAATATAACACTCTGAAAGGGGCAATTTTGTACTTTTACTTTTTATACTTTGAGCACATTTTGCTTCTGTACTTCTAGACTTTTAATTGTCACTGAGTAATTGTGCACTGTGTAATTGGTACATTTACTGATGTAAAACATTTCTACACATCTTCCAGCATCGAAAGCATAAATTCTTGAGAGCGGGACAAACGTACAAGACAGCAAGACACCTTTTTGATACATAATGAAATTCAGCCTTTTGACCATTAAATCTTCCATAACTTGAAGAACCATAAGTGCTTCACTTTGCCATGTCTTGCTACCAATATTTTAATCTGTCTTTGTTGAAATGCATTGTTTTTATACTCACAAATAACATTTTAACATCTTTGTTCATAAAATAAAAGTATTTTCCTAACTTTAAAGCTGCTTGTGGGGAAATATAAAAAAAGGAAAATCACAGTTTAAGAAGAGTGAAAAGATTACAGTGTGATGTTTCTGTTGAAAATTATCAGGAAGCACATGATAAAACATCACTAGACATTCCCCGCCTGTAGCTAGAGGTGTTTTGTGTTTTGAAAGACTCGTCATGTGTTCATTTTCATGTGAAGCTCTATGCCTTGAAGAACTTTGAATTCCAGACAAGATCACTTTATTTCAGAGTTCATCTTGAGGATATAGTGCCCTTGTTTGAGTTAACCCTTAATATGCTTTTTATAGTAGTGAAATACAACACAATAGCTCTTGTGTACTACTCTTGAATAGAAGAGGCTTTTATCTAAACTTTCCAAGGTTTTTTAAATGAAAATAAGCGTTATAATCTCTCTCTCTCTCTCTCCTTCTCTTTTTATCTCTCCCTCTCCCTCTCTCTTCATTGGGTGTTGTCGGGCCTTTATCAAGCAGAGGCGTCTAATTCCTGAAGTGAAATCCTCTTAGGATCTATGCTCTATTTCTGTTTGGTCTATAGGGTCTTTTTTGAAATCTCCATTAGACCAAGCTCATTGGCTGGAAAAGACACACGCATGCACACAAAAACACTCACCATCCAGCAACAGATAGCTTAGTGAAGTGATTGAGTGTGGACCAGTGCAAGGTTAGCTGCTGACACAAAGAGAGGACTTCACTGTGACGGTGGGAGGTAAGAAAAACTCTGTCTCTCTTATTCTTTTAACATAATGGAGTGAAGCCAGCTTCACTTCGTAGAAATGTTCAAAAATTGGAAGTTTAGTTTCGAATGTATGTAACAGGAGATGAATTATTTGGTTTGTGTGTTTTTAAATACATTTGGGGGCCATCTTGATTTTTTATGTATAAGCTATATTTTGCCATTTACACTATTGCAGCATTACAGCATCAGATATCACATAGAGAGGATTTTTAAAGCAATTGTGTTTAAGTTTCTTTTTAAACTAAAGGCTTCTGCACAGAGTGAGAACAAAGGATTCTTTCTTTTGGTACTTAGTTTAGTCATGAGTCTGTGTCTAATTGAAAGTCAGCTGTTTACAAGAGTTTATTGTCTTGTCTCTTGCTCACAAACATACACATACAGAATTAAAACATTTACACATGACTTAATTTGCTCATGCTAGAACTAATCACAGCAAATCTCCACTTGTGGATTTGGGGGTTAGAGAGGTGGCCGCAAAGATCATCAGCCTAGATCAGCATTGTCCATTGTGACCCTGCACGCAGAAATAACGAAAGACAACACTAATTGAAACATCTCGGGAAGGCACAGGATATTCTGGCTCCTCGTGTAGGCCTGCGTCAGCACACCATCCCTACCCTGACCACAACCAAGAGCGGTTACATAAGCAAGTGCCCTATATTGGAAATCGGACATAAGCATCATAATTCGAACCTTAAAGGATGTATTGATGAAGAAATTTTATCTGTTTTCCTTTTTTTAATATAGAAAGAATGCATCAACCGCTGTGTTACTATAGGGGCTAGAAGACCATATATACCTTAATTATCGCTATCATTTACATTTTATGTCATGCTGTTGATTTTTGGATTTTGTTTTGTTTTTTTCTTCCCATGGTTTTCATGTTTTAGTTGCCCCAATCGCTGTTCCATCCCCCTTGAAAACAAAGCAAGCAAGAGCAAGATCTGCTTGCCAGTTCAGTAAAAATACCTCTTAGACTGGGCATTAATGTTAATTGAAAATATCATGGGACCCTGCACTTGGTATCCAGGTAGTCCCTGTCCAGCAGTGGCCAAAAAAGGTTTTTGAATCCTGATAGCCTATAACCCGATGACCTAGACTGAGGAGCCAAAATAAAGGGCAAACCAAGTGTTATAGGGCCTTAAAGAAGTAAATATATTATTCATGGCAAACCATTCAAAAAGCCCGCCCATCATGGGATGTATACAATCACTGCATGAATGACTCCTTTAACCTGTCTGAGTTCCCTTAATTAAATTTTGTCCCTTTAAGCAGGAGGCTTAAACCAACGGAGCAATGTCTGAAACAGAATGATTGTTTGGAGGAGAAACCCGCAAACCAACACCCAGGTGAGTGAAGGGCCAAGTTGGGTTCAAGAATGTCCAGCCCATAGTAACTGAGCCTCCTTACAATCTTGTATGTTTTTACTTGTGCGCCTTTCCGGGATGGTCTTTTTGATCCTATCTGTGCATTGAAACATCAAGCATCGACCATGGTTCAGGTCCAGTAATTCAGTCCATTAGGAATGACCTTGTGCGCTTGGTACCACTAAATTGACCATTCGACCGCATGCGAGAGCCCATTGAACAAGACACAGTAAGGAACCGAAAGGCAGAGTAGGCAGATCTGTAGAGCTTTATACTAACGCCGCTAAATCTTTTTCCTTACCCGCACACAGTAGTGCATTTAGGAAAGCCACTTCGCTAGCGGGTTGGGAAAATGAAGGCCTCTTAATCCCAGCCACACAATGCCCCAAGTCGATTCAATATCCTGCACCCCAAGTGTCCTCCCATTTTACGCCACAGCACATAACCAATAATTGCATAGCCCCAACTCGATTCAGCTTGAAATGGCCACATACCCTAATTATTATTTGTGCCTTGAGAGCGTAAAGGTTGTGAGAATCGCTGGCTTTATAA